TTCCCTACCCTGAGTTTATGAATATTTGTCTATATTGTCTTCTAGAAATCCTATTTTGCCTTTTACATTTAGATTGTGTGTGTGTGTGTATGGTATGAGGTAGAGGGTCAAGTTTCATTTGTTGCCATTAGATATCCATTTATCGAAGATTATCTTTACCCAACTGTTCTGCAGTGATATTGTTATAAATCAAGTGTCCATACGTTTCTAGCTTCACTATTCTATTTCATCCCTCTCATACAAGTCCTCGGGGCAACCAAATACCTCTAACGAAGAGGAGAGAAGACAGTGGAGAAAAACTTTACTGGTTATGTGGGTGAAACTGGTAACTGGGTTAACATCTTAACTCTGCCACTTATGAGTCCTGTTACACTGGGATAAGTTCAATTTCTCTAGGGCCCTGTTTCTTGGCCTTTACATCTGGCTTGTAGTATTATAAGGATTAATGACTTAATATAGCCAAAGTGTTTAAAACAAACCCTCAATAAATAACAGTTATGATCTCTAATCTGCAATTTATAAACTCATGTAATGCTAAACCCTAAGCTGAAATGACATTGAAAATCAAATTTATTTTACTTAGTATCAATATTTGTATATTTTTATAGCAAAAATATCAATGGGTTTGATTACAGAGTGCTGTCTAGGTCCCATTTGCAGTGTCTTGCATCTTTCTAAACATGGAAAGTTCTAATTTGTGAAGCACTTCTGGCCTTGCGCCCACTACGGGATGTGGGCCTATATTACCTCAGTTTTGTAGCCTGGGACAAGACAGCGGCCTCTGGATGGGCCTCAAGTTATTTCTATCAATTCTACCTTATAGCACAACAGTAGGAATAAAAAAGTATGCTGAATGCAGCAAACTAAAGGGAAAGTCTAGAGTCAGACACACACACACACACACGAGTCTACCATTCCTCTACACTTTGTACAAAAATATAAACTACAATTCAAAACAAGAATCAGATATCAGCCCTCATCTATCACCAAGATCCATACACATTAAAAACGGTCTCCTGATTGAACCAGCATTTTGTCTTTTCAATTGAAACATAAAAGGAAAACCTTTATTTTTCTAAGTTTTTTGAAATTCCGATCCATCCATTAGCTCCTTATTAAAAGTGATCTGGGCGATGCAAGGCAGTTAGGTCTGTGCCCTATGCCGAATCTCAATTACTGTGGGGAGGCCTGTCTGAATGAATGTCCAGTTAAGTCCTGCCTCATGAGCCCCTGAGGTGGCCTCTGCAGACCGCTTGCCCAGGGCTGGAGGTGGAGCTGAGCTCAGTGAACACCAGTGTCAACAAATGCCAGTGGCTGATCGCTGTCGCGAGGGCTGGCTTTTAAGTCTAGCACCCACTAGCAAAACCATCATCCCTCTAAGAAGAGCCCAGGCTGATTCGATTTCTAATCCCCACTGTTCAAGCATCCGAAGAGTGGGGCCTTTGGGCCACTGTGACCAGCATCTGAGACGGAAGGAATAACCTCAGAGTCCCAAGGTTCTAGACGAGTCTAGTATCAAACCTTTACGTTCATCTTCTCCCAACACCAGAGGTTCCTGGGTTCCTGGTGAAAAACTATAGTGGTTAAAATGTACTGAACGCTCATCATGTGCCCCGTACTGTTTTTTCATACTATAAGAATTTTAGCTCATTTTACTGTAACTGACAGGGACCATTATTCCCATTTTACACGTGAGCAAATGAAGGCAGGGGAAGCGGGGTGGGGGGGAGGTGGCGCAGAACAAGAAACTGATCTCAGGCAGCATGCGTGACCCCTGAGTTATAGCATGCGTGACCACCCTCCGCTCAGCCCCAGGCAGAGCCCTGCTCTCGGGGTTTCTGGAAGAAGCACTCCCGACTTCCTCCCCTGGTGGCAGAGAGAGCTCTTGGTTTTTGGAACGAAACCAGCCTCGTTCCATTGGGGCACTTCCACTACGTGTTAGCTGTGGGCAGCTGGGCGACTCGTCTGCTGCCAAGGCTCACTTCCCTCAGCTGTAGAACCAGGATCCTGCCCCAGAGGGAATAAGACCTGGGTTTTGGAATAAGATGAAAGTTTGATCCTCGCTCAGCAAATCCTGAGTAATCCTATGTCACGCTCCCCAGCCCCTCAAAACCTCAACTAGAAAGGGAACTACTCTTAGCCCAGCGAGGGCGTCGATGTGGGCATTGGAGAAATTTCTGCTGGCACATAACCGGGTTGCCGTTACGATAAGCATGGTGATGGGCTCTGCCTAGGGCAGGCCTTCTCACAGTCCGGATGGAGCGCGGGGAACACAGAGGGCAGAGCAGAAGGGGAAATAAGGGCTGTGGTTTGCCAAAGCAGGGACAAGCTGCTGGGGAGCGGATCTCCTGGTGAGAGCACCCCCACCCTTCCTCAGCCTGGCTTGGCCAGCGCGGCTCGGTATCCCGTCACAGACCCGGGGCTGCTCCAGCTGGCCAAGTGACTAAATGCTGCTGAGTCCAGGCCACTAAAACAGATAAGGCTGAACAATCCCGGCTTTGTTTTGGAAGGTTTTGCCCCTGAGTTTCCAGTTGGCTTTTATCTGACTTCTTCAGCCCCAGGGGAGCTACACTAGAAGCTTCGGGTTCTTGGGGAGGCGGAAGGTTGGAGACCGGGAGCCCCACTCGCCTCCGCGTGTGCTGGGATCTCCCTCGCCGCCCGCCTTGGGGCCGAGGAGGGCACGCCGGCCGTCATTCGGACGCCCAGGGGAACTGCCGAGCTTTCTCCGCACAACCCGGCCTCCTTTCTCTCCTTGGCGCAGCGGGCGAGGTCGTGATGGGCTCATTAAGCCGGCAGGTAGGCAGCGCTCCGGCGGCGGCAGGCGGTCCTGGAATGCGCGAGGGGCGTGATGATCGCAGCTGCTGCCGGCCTCTTTGCGCAACACCTTGGCTATATATACCCCGGCGCCGCGCTTCACCTGGGTGTTTCCTTCAGTCCATTACCTGCGCAGGGAGCGC